GTTAGCTGCCACATGGGTGCTGGGAATCGAACCTGGGTCTTCTAGCTGGTGCTCTTAACTGCTCTAGCCCCCAAGTTTCTTCTATTTTAAAACTCAGATGGAGGGGTACAATACTCTGAATTCAAAGTAATGTCTGCTGTTAAATCATGAGGATCTGTCAGTAAATGAAAAAGCAAGAATCACGTGGTGGTGGTGGTGGTAGGATCTTTATTCACTGTAGTTTCCCTAAGTAATGTCCACAAATCATTGCATTTTAAAAGAATTTATTTCATGGAATAATGGAGTTGGGAAATCCAAGTCAATTATTAGAGGACTTTATCATATAATTTTGCAACATTTTAATGTGCTAGTACCTACTGATCATTTCCACCATTTAGACTATTTCATGAGATTAGCATCTCAAAAATTTCACTTTGAAGAGAATGGGGAGATGGCTCAATTAGTAAAATGCTTGCTATACAAGGACCCAAGTTCAGATTTCTAGTACTAACTTAAAAAGCTAGGCACCTGCAACCTCAGCATTGGTGAGGTGGAGACAAGCAGACCCCTGGAGCTCACTGGCTAGCCAGTTTGGCTGAATCTATGAGTTACAGGTTCAGTGAGAGACCCTGTCACAAAAAAATAAGGTGGAAAGGACTGAAGATGACACCTATATTAGTTACTTTTCTGTTGCTATGATAAATATCATGACCCATGACCAAGGCATAGAAGGAATAGTTTACTTGACTTATGATTCCAGAGGGATAAGAGTTCATTATGGTGAGGGAGGCATGTAGGAGGTAGCCAGAGCAGAAAGCTGAGCACTCACATCTTCAAGCACACCCAGAAAGCAGAGAGAGAAACTAGAAATGTGATGTAGCTATCTACTCTCAAAGCCCACCTACAGTGATATGCTTCCTCCAGAATGGTCACATCTCCTAAAGGTTCCATGATCCTCCCCAAACAGCACCACCAAATGGAGACTAAGTGTTCAAATACTTGGAGCCTACAGGGACATTCTCATTCAAGGCATCACAACACCCAGTGTTGACACATGGATCACAGATGGGGAGAGAGAGAGAAGAGAGAGAGAGAGAGAGAGAGAGAGAGAGAGAGAGAAAGAGAGAGAGAAAGAGAAACTAAAAACACTGTTCAATGAAAAGTCAAGCAACACACCAAGAAATACAAATTAAAGTACAAGTATGGTTAGCAAGATGGTTTGGTGGGTAAAGGTGCTTTGCTGCCAAGTCTGACAGCCTAAGTTCAACATCAGGGACTAACATGGTGGAAGAAGAGAACTGACTTCTACAAGTGGTTCTATGACTACCACATGCACACCATGGCACACGCACAAGCATCCATACACATACACAAAATAAATGTTTCCCAAAGTACAAGTAGTATGGGGCTGGAGAGATGGCTCAGCAGTTAAGAACACTGGCTGTTCTTGCAGAGGACCCAGGTCCAGTTCCCAGCACCCACGTGGCAGCTAAAAAAATGTAACTCCAGTTCCAGGGGAACTCTTCTGACCTCTGTGAGCATTACATGACACAGGTGCACTTACATGTAGGCAATGCGCTCATACACATAAAATAAAAATAGCAAATAAAATATTATAAAAGTACAAGAAGTACATTTATGCTGAAAGAATCCAGAATTAAAAGGAGTGATCGGTATGTGGATTAGTTTTCTGCCCTATATACTATTCCCACCACCCTCATATACTATTCATTTTGCAGTGTAACTTAGGCGGTAATAAGAGTCAAGCATACATGCTTAAATTAGAAGAATGCTGAATCCTGAAGGGTATACTTAAAATTCTATTACCACATCTATAATTTTAGAAATCTTACTTGCCATTATTAATGAAAATCACTTCCCCCTCCCCCCAAGAGAGGGTCTCAAACCAAACCCAGAATTCATTATATAGCTAAGTGGCCTCAAACTCACAGTAATCCATCTGCCTCAGTCTCTCAACTGCTGAGATTATAGGCTTGAGCTACCATACCCAGATTTTTTTTTCAGGAATATAATCTTTCTTTTATGATTCCCAATTCTTTTCTTTTTTAAAATTTTTTTTATTTAATAACCACATGATTAGAAGAAGCATTTCATACCCAGATTTTTAAATTTATTTACTTTGGATTGTGTGTGTGTGTGTGTGTGCGCGCACGCGCGCGCACATACGCTCACACTCACTATGGCATAGGCATGGAGGTCAGAGGACAACTTGCAGAAAGTCAGTTTTCTCCTTTCACCAGGATCAAACTCAAGTTTTCAGGCTTGGTGGCAAACCCCTTTACTGGCTGAGCCAGTAATAGAATTTTAAGTATACCCTTCAGGATTTAGCATTCTTCTAATTTAAGCATGTATGCTTGACTCTTACTACTGCCTAAATTACACTGCGAAATGGCCTTTTTGTTGTTTGTTTGAGAGGAGATCATACTCTGTTGTCCACAGTAATCTTGAACTCACAGCAATCCTACTGTTTTAGCTTTCAAGTGCTGGGATTACAGTGGTAAGCAACTATGTCCACTTAATTTCTCTCTTTTTAAAAAATATTTGTTTTTATTTGTGTGTGTTTATGTGAATATATGCATTGTGTGTATGGGTTATCTATGAAGGCCAGAAAAGTGTTGGATCCCCTGGAGCTGGTGGATATGAGCCACCCCATATGGGTGCTAAAAACTAAACTCAGGTCCTGTGGAAGAGCAGGAAGCACTCTTAACTGCTAAGCCATCTCTCCAGCCTTTAATTTCTCTTATTTGTGTGTGTATGTCTGTGTGTGTGCATGCACACACCTGCCATAACACACATGGAAATCAGGGGGAAATTTTTATGGAGTTGATTCTCCCTTTTCCATCTTTTCACTGGGTTCCGGGAACCCAACTCAGGTTGCCAGGCTTGAGTGGCAAGTGCCTTTACCCACTAAGCCATCTTGCCAGCAGGTAATTTTTCTTATTAAAATGACTAGGCTGGGCATAGTGGCATACACCTTTAACCACAGCACTAGAGAGGCCAAAACAGTAGGATTGCTGTGAGTTTGAGGAGGTCAGCCCAGTCTACATAGTGAGACCCAGGCCAACCAGTCAGGGTTACATAGTTCCTCTGTCTCAAAAAAAAAAAAAAAAAAAAAAAAAACCAACAACAACAACAAAAAACCCAGATGATTAGGTTATAATGATAGCCTTCTTGCTCTTATATAAAAATTATTAACTGTTTTGAGGCTTCATATGGTACTTCAATTCTTTAAAATTCATTATAGATGGGGCTAGAGAGATGGCTCAGTGGTTAAGAGCACTGACTCTTCTTGCAAAGGACCCAGGTTCGGTTCCTACCACCCACATGGCAGCTAACAACTGTCCATAACTCCAGTTCTACCCTCTTCTGGCCTCCACAGGCACTGAATGACATGGGTGCACTTATATACATGCAGCCATAACACTCATACACATAAAATAAAAATAAATAAATAAATTTAAATTCATTAGAGACTCAGGTAAAAATCTTATCACTAAAGAAATCATTACAAAGAATTCTATATGACAAAACTGTGTAACTGTCTCACTATGATTATGTATACCATAATGAATTCTTTGTAAAGAATTAACTTTATATAACAAATGCTTCCATTTGAGTACCCTCCTAAAATAATCATCTTATATTCCCAAAGACCTTAAATGGTATGCTGTTTGTAGCCTACAGCTTTGTAATACTGCCTGATTAAATATTACTCTTTAGGGTCTTGGTGGTTAAGAGAACTTGCTGCTCTAAAGGACCCTAGTTTGGTTCCTAGCACCCATGTTAGGCATCTTAAATTGTCTATAATTCCAGCTCTAGGATATCTGATGTCCCTGCAAACACATACACACAAGTACACACACATACACATTAAATAGATAAGATAGTTAACTCTTCAAGCTCCTCTCAGTTAAAACACTCCAACTTGAGAAATATAAATGAAAAAAATTCAAATTAAGGGTTGGAGCGATGGCTCTGCAGTTAACAGCACTTAGTGCTGTGGCAGAGAACCTGGGTTTGGTTCCTAGTGCCCACATGACAGCTTATAACTGTCAACAACTCCAGTTCCAAGGGATCCGACACCCTCTTCTGGTCTCCATGGGCACCAGGCATGAACATAGTGCACATGCATACATCTTTATTTAAAAGTTCAAATCATGGCAGACGTGGTGGCACATGCCTTTAATCCCATCATTCGGGAGGCAGGTAGATCTCTGAGTTCAAGGCCAGCCTGGTCTACATAGTGAGTTCTAGGACAGCTGGGGCTACTGGGAGACCCTGTCTCAAAAAGACCAAAAAAAAAAAAAAAAAAAAAGTTCAAATCACTACAATGTAGATAGTTGGGAAAATGAAATGAAATTGTAGGGTGAAAGTTGTTCCAGTTTGCTAACCCTAGAGGTCTTCTAGTCATTCAGTGTTTCATTACAGACAGCCCATTTCATCAACTGTTCCCAAAAACCAAAAATATGATATCCACTGTATCTTTCATAACACAATTTTAATATTAGGCAGAATTTTTCTATGATGACATAAACATTTGTTTAAATCAAAAGAAATAATAAGATTTTAAGTTTTAAAATTTTTTCTAATAGGTTTTATTTAAGGCATTTCTTGAAAAAAAAAAGTACAGCTAGACACGGTGGCTAACACCATTAATACCAGCACTCAGGAAGCAGAGGCAGGCAGATTTCTGTGAGTTCAAGGCCAGCCTGGTCTACGTAGTTCTAGAACAAGTGGGTGAAAAGGCAGACCCTGTCTTAAAAAGCCCCCCCCCAAAAAAAGATAAAAAAAATTTGACAATTGCTTTATGATTCAGTAGTAAAGCTGGAGAAAACAGGCTATTCTTTTGCAGTTTTACTTATAATTGTTTCTCAGCTGGACAAAGAAAATGGGTATACATTAATGTATGTGGGTGCTCACATAATAATTTAAAAATGAAGTAGCAAAAAAAAATTCATGGCACTTGAATGTTTTATAAATACCAATGAGAGTTTTCTTACCTTCAGGAGTTCAAAGTAATGCAGACAGTGGTACACAGGGGCAAGAAGCAGCCGGGGTAAAACATACTGAACAGCTTCTTTGAAACCTTCCCCTATTGACTAGAAAAGAAAGTGATTTAATTTTTTTAAAGAGTTTACTTTTCTGAAATTGTACATCTCAATTTAAAAATTACTATACCTGCAAATAAAGTGCTGCCCCAGGCTTTGATAACTGACTAAGGAAACGGTCATGAAATCCTGGTCGTAAAATATCTCGAGCATATGATTCATATGGGTCAAATGCCAGTTCCTTAAAAGATAAAGAAGGTAAAGCATAGTCTTTCACCAAGGTATAACATGAATAACTAATCACCACAAACACCAAAGATTAAATTATAAGCATGTCTATGCAAGCACAATTACTTCTTTAAAGCCTCCAAATGGGAATTGTATGACTAGTAATTATAATTTTAAAAACATATATATAACATTCCTAAGAATAAATTCTTTTTGAGACAGGCTCTCCCTGTAGCCTCAGCTGGTCTTGAACTCACAGAGATCTACCTACCTCTGCCTCCCAAGTGCTGGGATTAAAGGCGTGCACCACCATGCCCAGCAAGAATAAATTAATTCTTTCTTCTCAGTAATAGAACCCATGTATGCTATGATGCCTCATTTTAAGGATTCCAGTAAAAAGTAAGAGTTGTCCCTGCCAGGTATGGTGGCACATGAACTCTTTGAGTTCAAGGCTTGCGTGGTCTACCTAAGAAGTTCCGGGCCAGCTGGGGCTACAGGGAGACCCTGTCTCAAAACAACAAAAAAATAAAAAATATTAGCCGGGCATGATGGTGCATGCCTTTAATCCCAGCACTTGGGAGGCAGAGACAGGAGAATCTCTATGAGTTCAAGGCTAGCCTGGTCCACAAAGCGAGTTCCAGGACAGCTGGGGCTACAGGGAGACCCTGCCTCAAAAAGACATCCGCCCCCCCCCAAAAAACAGCAAGAGTTGTCCTAATAGTGGGTGGTGGGTGTGGTAGCACATATCTTTAATCCCAGCACTCAGGAGGCAAAGGGAGGCAGGTATCTGAATTCAAGGCCAATCTGGTCTATATAGTGAGTTCCAAATGAGCCAGGGCTGAATAGTGAGACCCTGTCAAGAAAAGGGGGGGGGGGCAACAAAGAGAGGAAACAGAAATAGAGAAAGATAAGGAAAAGAAAGAAATATTTAATAGTAAGAACAGCAGATCAGAAATTTTCAGACTAGAGCTCTGGTCACTGTGAAATGTTATGTAGCACATTCCAAGTTGTCCTGGATCCCCACAATAGAATCCTGGTTCATTTTCTAGTTTTAACTCCTTCAATAATCTCAACTAAACATTTCTATAATATAGCACCAGAACTGTAGTTAATTGAGTAGTTTACAGAAATGGGCAGTACAATTTCCATGATAACAACAAGGAGATAAGAACGAACAGCATGGAAAAGAAAGGAATAAAGACTAAGACACTGCATCGTGGGCCTCTTCAAACTGCTAGACATGACCATAAACAGCTGGTATGTTTGTCTCCCTCTGCTTTCAATAAGCTCCAATGTATTACAGAAAGGCTACATACAATCTTGAGGATTTTTTTGTGCGAATAATGTAAGCTATGGAACAGATTTTTAAATTTTTTAATTATTTTTATTTTATGTGGATGAGTATACTGCCTGCATGTATGTAAGTGTACCCATGTGGTATTGCACCACAGAAGTCAGAAGAGGGTATCAGATCCCTTGGAACTGGAGTTACAGACAGCTGTCAGCTGCATGTGGGTGCTAGGTATCAAACCTGGGTCCTCTGCAAGAGTAGCCAGTGCTCTTAACTGCTGAGCCATCTCTCCAGCTTAAAATTTTATATACTAAAAAGGGCATCTGACACCCTCTTCTGACCTCCTCAGGCATTGCACGACACAGATGCACCCACCTACATGCAGTCATTACACTTATACACATAAAAATAATAATTTTAAAAAATATATAAAATATTTAAAAATTTTTAGTCAGGCATGGTGGTGCACGCCTTTAATCCCAGCACTCAGGAAGCAGAGGCAGGCAGATCTCTGTGAGTTCAAGGCCAGCCTGGTCTACGTAATGAGTTCTAGGCTAGTTGGACTACAGGGAGACCCTGTCTCAGAAAAAAAAAATTTTTTTTTCTTTTAAATTTTAAGTGCTGGCCATGGTGGTATATACCTTATAATCTCAGCACTTAGGGGACAGAGTGAGGAACATCAAGAGTTCAAGGCTGTCCTCAGCTACATAGTATGTTTGAGGCCAGTCTGGACTAGAAGAGACCTTATCTCAAAAGATCTCAACAATAAAAATAACTTTATTGGCATATATTCAATTGCTCCTAGTGATGGGTTTCATAAATAAATACATCACCTACTTTGACCACATTCATATTCACCCCTAAAAGTACTTCGTTTTTGGTGTGGTCGGTCGTCCATCTGTCCTTCCTTCCCTTCCTCCCTCCCTTCCTCCCTTTTCTTTCCAGGTTGGCCTTGAACTCCTGATCCTCCTGCCTCTACTTCCCAAGTGCTGGGAGTGTATTATCAAACCTGGCTCAGAATAAGTTGGGTTTTCTTCCTTTCCTCTTTAGTTTAATTTTTTATTGAATTTTTGTAAATTTCATATGATACATTGTGATCATATTTAGATCCCCCTCACAATGAAGAGATCCACCTACCTTTGCCTCCCAAGTACTGGGATTAAAGGGGTACACTCACCACTCATGGTATGGATTGGATAACCAGTTTGAACCAGTACAATTTATTATTTAACTTGGTCCTCCTCTGATTAATGGTATCTGTTCACACATCAGCAGTGTCTGTAATTCTATGTTCTACTCTTGCTATTGGTAGTAACACTATACTCTTACTACATAATAAATCTGAACATGTGATAGAGCAAGTCTCCTCAATTTGTCCTTCCTCCAAACTGATTCTGTCCCTTCTTTTGGGAGAACAAGAGAAGTTCAGGACAGGATCTCATTATGTGGCTAGCAAAGGCTAGCCTATAACTTGTAAAACACCCAGGATGCTTCTTGAGTGCTAGGATTATGCATCACTACACCTAGCTCCTGTCCTTCCATTCTTTAATTCTTTCCATGCCTTTAATCCCAGCACTCCAAAAGCAGGCGGCTCTCTGTGAGATCAAGCCCAGCCTGGTCTACATAGCAAGTTCCAGGCTAGCTGAAGTTATAGATAGACCCCGTCTCAAACAAACAAACAAAAAGACAAACAGCCAAAAAATTAAAAGAAAACAAAAAAAGATCAGCTGGATTCATAGTTTACTTTGGGAAAGACTAACATTACTACAAATTTTGAGTTTTTTCCATCCTTCAACAGTATAGTATGAATCTCTATTTATTTAGATATTCCTTATGAACCTAAATATTTTATTACTTTTCTTAATGAAGGTCCCACATATCTTTGGTTAGATTTAAAATTTTACTTAGTTGTTTATTATTATTATTATTAATTATTATTATTATTTTGTGTGTGTAAGTGCAAGCATGTACATGTCATGGTGAACATGCGTAGGTCAGAGGGCAACTTTTAGGAGCTGGTTCTTTCCTTTCACTGTGGGTTCTGGGGACTGAACTCTAGGGATAGAACTCATCTGGAAATCAAACTCAGGTAGTCAGGCCTATGCATCATTTTTAACCACTGAGTAATCTCACGCTAAGTACTTTATAACGAATGGCACCTTTTGCCTTTAATGCTATAATGCAGTGGACTGTAACCTTTTCACTAGCCACTACAGTGAACCTGCCTATTTGTTTTGTTAATGATTTTTTTTTTTTTTGATTTACTATACACTGACTTCAAATAGGACAGCTCTGATCTTACCTATTCCTTTTCTGTCACTTTATATTAGGCAGTACCTCTAAAAGAATGCTGAATAGAAATAGTAACTGTATTCTTTTCCAGTTTCTGAATTCTCTTGTAGCTGTACCCCACCACTCCCATAATTTGGTCTGCTTTTTGAAACAGGCTCCCATACAACCTTAGGCTGGCTCTCAACTTGCTATGCAGAGAATGATGCTCAATACACGATTTTTTTGCTTACACTCCCAGTTCTTAAAGGTATACACCACCATACCCATTCTAATGCAAATGTAGGCTTATTTATATACAGACTTCTTTTGCTATAAAATTGACATACCTCTGCTAAGTCTTCAAAACAGCTTCCTACTAATGGATGGGGACTGCCTTCATCTGTCATTTCTACAGTGTCTTCTATATGGCCCAGTAACTTTATACTAAGTTCATGTATATCCACTATACGACTAAATATGTTTTCTACATCCTGTTGAGAAGAGGGGAAGAAACAGTAATTCAGACATGTTGTATAATAGACACTTTTTAGTAAATAATTTTATAATCACAGTTTAACACATATATATCCAGCAATTTTAATTATTTACAAATATAAACAAAAATTTGTGCAATTTCTTTTGTACTGATGTATAATTTAGAAACACATTTCTCTATGTCAAACTTTTTGGTTTTAGAACATCTTCATATTCTTAAAAAAAAAAAAATCAATGGATTCTGAAAAGCTTTTATTTTTATCTACAAATATTTACCATATTAAGTTAAAAACCAAGAATTCTTTAAACATTTAATTCATTTAAAAATAAGACCCACTACATCTTAACATAAATTAAACTTTTATAAAAAATAGATTTCCTAAAATAAAAAAGAAACATTTGGAAATTTTTTAAAAAACATTTTTGGAAATCCTTAGAAAACAACACACAGCATTTTTCTATCTCTACATTAAATCTGTTGCAATACAACATTTTTTAAAAGGACATGAAGAAACTAGCTTTACACAGATAAGTAATGGGAAAATGAAGGAATATTTTAATAGTCTATTCAATAATTGTGGTATTATTTTGTTTTCTGTGTAATGTGTGCAATTTTTCTACTGAGATATAATTCACATAATATAAAATAACTGGTTTTCTGAGTGAGGGTGGTAAGAGTAGATGTGGATGGGACACAATTATCTAAGGCAAGAAAATATTGTGGATCTTGACTATGACAAGGTTAAAGGAGATGGAATAACTGTAAATCTCACCAAAAAGAACATTGAAAGTAGGTATATCTTATTCTATATGAACCATAAGTATACTTTACTACTCAGTAACTTTCAATATATTTAGAGCTGCACAGTCATTACCCTCGAAAGACAACCTAAACCCATTAACAACAGTCACTTTCTATTCTACTTTATTCACAGTTCCTAGCAATCACTATTCTACTTCCTGTCTGCATGCATTTGCCTACTCTAGACATTTCATGTCAACAGGTTAAACATCTTTTTATGGTACTACACCAGGATTTAATAAATGGTAATTTGTTAAAGGTTAGTCATAATGCAAGCTCTGAAACCATGTAATTTTGTACTGTTAAATTAAAATCCTTTGGTTACTATTTTGTCAGTGATTTTATTTTTGTCAAATTAACTTTCAGATATGGTTCATATACAGTAAGATATACCTACTTTAAATGTACTTTTTGGTAAAATTTTATGAAGTTATTCTCCTTGTAACCTCATCATAGTCACTAAATACAGCATTTTTTTTTTCCTCCTCACTCCCAGGAAACCAATTTTCTCCTTTCTGTCACTAGACAATCATCTTTTCCAGACTCTATCTTTGTTCATGCTTTTGAGATTTAGCTGTGCTGCTGTATATACAACTACTTCATTCTTTTCTACTGCTGAGAAGTAGTCCATTGTATGGGCAAATCACAGTTTCTATAACCTGTACATTTGATAGGCATTTGAGTTGTTTCCAGTTTTGACCTATTACAAATAAAACTGTGATGAATATTCATGAGTTTTATATAAACTTATTTTCATTTCTTCTAAGGAAAAAAAATAAATCTGCTGGAGAGTGTCATTTATGTTTATTATTATTATTAAAAAACTATTTTCCAAAATGTTTACACTAGTTTACATTTCACAAATAATGTAGGACTTGTTAAATCTCACAATAATGCTCCATGTCCTTTTCAACATTTGATATTGCTAGTTCTTTTTGGGTTTTCTAATAAATGTGTGGCATTATTGCACTATCTTTTGATTTGCATTTCTCTGATAACTAATGATGTTAAACACCTTTTGGCAGTTTGTTTCTTGACTTTTGTCTAAGACATCTTTGTCTCATTTACTCTTATTTTTAAAACCAACTTTACTGAAATATAATTCAAATGCCATGTAATTAATGCATTTAAATTAATTCAATGATGTTTGTGTACTACAGATTTATAGAACCATAATTATAATATAGTGTTTTTTCTTTTTTCAGTGTTGAGAACTGAACCTAGGGTCTCACAAGTAGATTAGGCAACTGTTCTACCACTGGGCTATACCCTCAGCCCCTAAACCTTTATTATTTTTTTAGGTAGTTTTTCACTGCTATAATTTGACTTCCAGGCCAAGCTCCTGTAGGGAATATTGTTTCTCCATCAGTCACCTGTGGCTTTATGACTACAGCTCTAGGGATTACTAGGATGCAACCCCTTTGGACAACCTCACTTGTTCTTGCTAAACATATTCTCAGGTCAATGACGTTAGTATGAATACTACTCTAAGACCAGTGATCTTGTCTCCAAATTTATCCTCCCAATAATACCGCTGTCACATTTCTATTGTGCTTATTTTTATACTTTATTACAATTTAATATTACATCTCTGTCTTGACTAAATTTGAGGGAATTGTTTTCTTAATCATCTAAATATGGTGCTAACAATACAGTTGGTCTTGATGAAGTACTGTTAAATGATTCAAATGTGTCAAATGAATTAAAAATATTTTCCACCTAAACAAAAGGCTTTTATTCCTTAGAATAAATGGAATATGAAGTGCATTCATTTTCACTTATATAATCAATTTTAGATTTTGTCTTTTAATTTCTGATGAATAATTTCTTGAAACTGTAATACTTTATTTGTGATAATGAATTTAAATACCATAACTTCAAAAAATTAACAAATTGGAAGTATGAATTATATAAATTCAAGTTTGAAATAAAATTTAACAATACATGAAACAATAGATATATATACTTACATAAGATGAAAACAATTTGGAATTAGAGACAAAGGGCTCTCTAAAAACTTTTATAATTAGGTTTAGTTCTCTTATATATTGTCGAATTTCTGCCATAAATGCTTTTACCAAATCATAGTAAGTTTGTTCTCCTGAGGTGGAAGGCTCTTCATCAGTTAAAGATAATATATTTATATCTTCTACATCTTGATGAAACATATCCATCAATACCTACATTATGTCAGAGATACAAAAAAAAGTATAAAATAAGAATCTATGGTCAAATTTGAAGATAAAAGCCCTAAGAATTCTTTTCCTTCTTCTTTATGTTGGGAGGGGGCATAGCACATTCACATGGCGGTCAGAGGACAAACTTCCTCTAAGAATTCTTGTTGGGAGGGGGCATAGCACATTCACGTGGCGGTCAGAGGACAAACTTCCTCTAAGAATTCTTTGAATGAAGTTCTTAAATAATCCTTAAAGCAGGTATATGATTGTTTCTTATGAAATAACTGCTACTCCCTCTATAACATAATTCTAGGTCTGAGGATCATCTATGCCTTCCTAAGTTTTCTTACCAGTATTATTATCTGTCTGTCTCTCTGATTATTTCTAATTTGTTCCTGAATCCTGTCTTCAAGTTCTCTCTAATTTGATGTCTTCTGTGCATACTATGCTACCCTCGTGGTATTCCACAGTCTCATTTATTTCAAGTAACTTCACAGCCCTCTAGTTGGCCTATTTCCCTACATTTGTTGGTGGCAATAGATCAAAATAAGTCATGTTTTCTTCAAAATGTTTATCATTATTACTCCTGTTAAAACTCATCCTTCCCCTTCTTGTGTTTCATTATCACTATAATAAAATATTTATCTTGGGCTACATGTAAGTATCCCTTCAATAACTCTGGAGCCTTGTCTTCAAAAACAAACAAAGAAGTCCAAGCTAGTCTCACACTCACTATGTAGCCACAGTTAGCCTGGAAGTTCTGATCCTTTTGCTTCTGACTCCATGTGCTGAGAATATAAGTGTATGCCATCATGCCTGGTTTATGTGGTACTAGGAATTAAATCCACAGCTTTTTGAATGCTAGGCAAGCACTCTACCAATTGAGCCACATCCCCTTCTGCAGAGCCTTGTTTTACACCTCTTTATATTTCATCTCTGTGTGAGCACATTATGGGTACTCAAAAATATTTTACTTATACGATTCATGAAAAAGTAGCAAACATTTTATATTCCATTTTCAACTATAATTTTTAAAACCAAATACTTATTCATTTAAAAATATCAAAATAATTCTAATTCTTCAGACTAGGTCAATCTTTTACTCTAGATTTATTATAGTCTGTGAGAACTTGAGTGGACTGATAATCAGAATATTTCAAATCAGTAAGAGTACAAGTGAGAAAAATGGAATAAGCTGTCATCAGAAAAAAGTTATTTCCTGCAAAGACTTTTTCTAAAATGACAATATTCAGGCAAAGAATAAAACATTTTAAACTCAGATCTGGAATTCAAGTCTAGACTTTGAAACTGCAGAAAAGTCTAAACCAATTCCTTTACTTCTCTAAGTTTCATTCTCTTTTATAAAATATAAAGTTCACCCACCTTAAAAGACTGAATAGTGACTAAATGACATCAAGTGTGCATATGCTTAACGCCCAGTGACATTTACTCTTAGCATTGTACAAACAGTATTTAAAGAAATTCAGGTGTTCAAATAACATCATTATTTAGTATCTTTACATTTTCAAAAACTGTTTTCAGGTAAACACTTAACCTTCTAAACTTTCTAATTCAAATAAAAATTTAAAAAAAAATTCACTCTAAGGTATCTTTCCTGGACCAGGGACACAGAACAATGGTAGGGCACTTGCCAAGCAGTGGTATATTTAAAAACCTTTTAAGACCTGGGTGTGGTGGTGTGCGTATTTAATTCCAGCACTGGGAGGCAGAGATAGGCAGAGCTCTGTGTATTCAAGGCCAGCCTGGTCTACATAGTGAGTTCCAGGCCAGCTAGCACTACACAGTGTGACCCCCAATCTCAAAAACAAACAAAAAACCCTTTTAGTATTACACATCTAATATCTTATTTCTATACAGTAACATCCTGAATGTATTCTATTAGATTACTGGAAATATTCCCCAACAAATAATACAGTACACAATTTTATTTTTCTGAATAGAATATTACCATCTAATAAATCATAGATAAAAATTTAAGAATAATACAGGGCTGGAGAGATGGCTCAGCAGTTAAGAGCACTGGGTGCTCTGCCAGAGGAACCAGGTTCGGTTCCCAACACCAACATGGCAACTCACAATCTTCTGTAACTCCATTTCCAGGGCACCCAACACCTTCTTCTGGCTTCCATGACCATGGGTGAACTTAAACACATGCAGGTAAAACACTCACACATAAACTAAAAAATTTTAAAGTAAACATATATAAGCTCAGCTGCTTACCTTATCAGCACACATTGCCACTTTAATATCTTGTTTCGTAATTTCATAATGCCGTATATTTCTTACATAATTCCCCACCAGCTTTAAAATATCAGCAGAAATATATTCTAATACTGCTACTATGTAAACAGAAACCTGGTGGTCGATTTTATAACCTAGGACCTCCTAAAAAATTAAAAGGAAAGCATGTTTAAACATCATGTACAGGAAATTTAACATACTGACTAAAAAATAAAATACATACAACTTGGTTTAACTTTCACTGAAACCTGTGACTACCAACATTTAATAATTTAATTTTAAATGGTTCTATTACAAGAAACATAGACATACATATTTGTATACATTATATAATTACTGTTGAAAAATTTTAAATGGTTCTATTACAAGAAATATATAGACATACATACTTGTATACATTATATAAACATAATCACTGTTGAAAAAAGTATACTAAAAAAGGTGAGGCAAAATTACCCGTCATATACATTGCTTGAACTATATGCATTACTAAGTAGATCAAGCTAACTTAGGAAGGAAAGTCCAAGTTCGGTATAGGGGAGCAAATGCTCTCTGTTAACTATGTGGAAGTAACTACATAAAACGAATTTACTTTTTTATACAAACCAAGAGTGAATATAATATTTTCATTCAAAAATGGCTATCAGTCTTATACCTCTATTCTTTCCAAAGAAAGCTGGGCTCTGAGAGGAGCTATATGGCTCATTCCTGATATCCCTGGCTTTCTATGAAAAAAAATAAATCATGCTATGTGCTACTGAACAACAGTAGTTAAGAGCATATTAAACAGTCTTATTATTAGACATCAAAGAGAAAAAGTTATTTTGTGGGGCTAAAAGTTCCTGAAGAAAAATAAATTCTAAACAAGAGGGGGAAAAAAACATTTGAAAAAAGAAATTTCCCCTAAGTTGGGTTTAGGTTACATTAACTTTTCAGGAATGCAAAATGATTAAATAAATGCTAATAGGCCTATTAATAAGCTGAAAATGATATCCACAATTAAATTACAAAACTCAAAATTTAGGATGATTAATAGTATGTATGTATGTAAAACTGTTAATTCTCTTAGAATACAACTCACTGTATGGACAATGAAAATCTTGAAAAGAATTATTTTTTCAATGCAATCATTAGTAATTTAGTAATTTTCTATAACTTGAAGATTTCCTCAAACCAGTCAGCAAGATAAGCATAGACATTTCTACTCACCACTAATTGCAAAACAACTTTTTGATGGTCTTAAACATCATTCAAGTGTTTAGCCTTAAATTTTGGGCAAGATTAAGTAGACCTGGATTCCCTAATATTATTGCTCAAGTTTTTGTGAACTTGAACTAGGAAGTTACTTGTTACTCTGCTACCTCATTTACGCACTGGAAATGACATAACACCTTTGCTGAGTAATAAAACTCACAGAGACAATATATCTAAGCACTAACATTTACTTATTACTGTTATCTAAAAGTATTACTAAAAGTATTATTGCCAGGTGTGGTGACATATTCCTGTAATCCCAGCACTCAGGAGGCTGAGGCAGGAGGATTGCTAATTACAGGCCAAGGTCAACCTGGGCAATAAAGTGAGACCCTGTCTCAAAGGGGGGGAAAAAAAAAAGAACTTCCATTAAGGCTGTAAATATTATAATAATGAGATTTTTGTTGGGAATTAATCAGTAATTTGTTGTATTAAACAAACAGAACATTTTAGGATTCTTAGCACTTACTCTATTAGTTTTGGAGAGATTAAACTAACTAAAGAAGGACCGGCTGGTTTAGGTGATCTTCAGGAAATTTTTGTTCAAAAGTAACACAGAGGCCTATTGCAGCTTCACAAAAGCACCTATACAAAATATTAACAGATTCTAAAGGCTTTATGGGACACTCTATGAGTCTAACCAACAAGACATATTTTATAAAATTCTACAACTCCTGGGATGAACAAAATTCACAACAGAGCTTTTCTAAGTCTATTCAATTTGTTTATTACTGTTGGTATGAAATCAGATTAAATCATGTTGCCCAATTTATACTTTATTGTCATAGTACCCCTTTCCCGCCACATGAACTCTTGGAAAATTGAAACAAAAGGATTTTACTGTTCAGTTCAAACATTCTTAGTGTTTGAAAATGATGGGTTTTGTTTTTCAAAGGTAAGATGGCAGTATTTCAGCTTTACCTTTAATAAAGGATGAATTTTTTCTACTGGGAGAGATAAAGGGTTTCTTCTCTTCCTCTTTTCAATAGCCGATTGGGCATCAGCTATTGCCCACTTATCAATTGGATGAGGGAAACTTTTTTGAACACGTTCCTTAGAAAATAGAAAAATAACAACTAAACAACAAAGAAATGAAATAGTGCTCTTCACTTAAAATTTACTTTTAAAATGAAAGAATACCCAAAGTAGAGCTTTCACATGTGGTATGATTTATACTATAAATGTAAGAAAAAACTATAATTGTTAATGTATTAGTTTCTTAATTATGTAACAATTAAGGAGACTAAACATTTCTTTTATTATCTAGGGGAAATCACATCCTGAATTTTTACTTTACTAAAACTAATGACAAGACTGAGTATGTCACTTTAAACACTACTTCCATAAAAGTTCAAGGAACAAGACCTAAATTTAAACAGATATCCAAATCCAATTGTCATTTATTTCTCCTTACTTTTTTTTTTTTTTTTTTTTTTTTTTTGTTGAGACAGTCTCACTATGTAGTCTTGGCTGGCCTTGAACTCACTATGTATACCAGACTGGCCTTGAATTCATGGAGATCCACTTGCCTCTGCCTCCCAAGTGGTAGGATTAAAGGCATGCACCGCCTGGCTTATTTGTCCTTACTTTTAATACCAACTGTTAAAAATTCAAGTAGCATTTTGCAATTAAAACCTTGAAGAATTTTTTCTTCATACAACATGTGAGAATATTTATTTTCCAAAACTATCTACAAAACATGGAAATAAATGGCTAACATTGGAAACAGCAATTTTAATACAGTATGCTTTATCTTTGAAGTCCTTATTGTTTTGAAAATTACTTCTAACTTAATATCCTTAAGTTACTCAGTTAAAATTTCATTGACAGTTAAAGAATTTGAGTTGTTATAATGCTAAGTTTCCTTAATTTAAGGTAATTAATTCACTGTAAACAAAAGGTATGTACTCCCCTCAAATCTGTAAAACCTACTTGCAGTATACCACAACTGAAACCACTAGAGGTCACTATTGCACAGAGTTTAACAAATTTCTCAGTATTCAATAAGATGGAAAACTACTAGATGAAATTAAATGTTATCCCTGAATACACACCTGAATAAAAATTTTATCAGTAGATGTTAAAATGGAAAACAACGCACTGCCAAGTGATAATCTAGAGCAAGGGTGTAAAGAAGGTATATATAATGCTTTTAGGACATACATTCCAAGAGCAAATTTATAAACTGCTCTCTTGAAACTTTTTTCCCTGCCTCCTTCTATAGTTCCCAACCCTGTTAAGTCTCACTATGTAGTCCTGAATGGCCTAGAATTTGTCAACCAAGATGGCTGAAATTGTGGCTATCCTCCTGCTTCTTCCTCTTGAGTTGCTGGGATTAAAGGGCACCACCATGCCCAGCTTAAGACTACTTTTTAATTTGTAAATTTTAATTTTTTTAAAGGGTTACAAGCTGAGCCCTGGTGGTACACACCTATAATCATAGTACTTGGAAGGTCCCCAGGCAAGAGGAACAAGAGTTCAAGGTTTGGCCAATGTGGTAGCACATGTCTTTTTAATGCCAATATTTAGGAGGAAGAGGCAGGTGGATGGATCTCTTTGAGTTCCAGGCCAGTTAGGTCTCAAAACAAACAAACAATATAAAAAAAAAAAATGTTCAAGGTTATCCTTGGCTATATTGTAAAAATTGAGTTTGAGATTAGCCTGGGTAACATGAGACTGTGACTCAAAAAAATAGAAGACAAGCTGGATGTGGTGATGCATGCCTTTAATCCCAGCACTGAGGAGGTAGAGGCAGGCAGATTTCTGTGAGATCATGGCCAGCCTGGTCTACACAGTCGAGTTCCAGACCAGCTGGGGCTCAGAGAGACCTTGCCTCAAAAAAAGACTAAATGAATGAATAATTTTTTTAAAAGACAAAAAACAAAATTAAAAACAAAAATAAGCATTACTAAATCTGAATGGCTTGGCTCCTTGCTGTGTTCCAGTTGACTGTTTGGACACAAACATCCAAAGCATTAAGATCAAGTGTTTCAATAATTCAAACTTAACTTCATTTAAAAATGTAGTCTCAGCACTCAGGAGGCAGAGGCAGGTGGATCTCTGTGAGTTCAAAGCCAGCCTGGTCTACATAGCAAATTCCAGGCCAGCTGGGGCAACAGGGAGACGCTGTCCAAAAACAAAAACAAAAAACAAAAAAAAGGGGGGGGGGGCGGTGCTAGAGATCAAACTTAGCTTACACATACTAGGCAAGTACTCTTAACAGCAAACAACCACCAACTCATTTTTGTTTTATTTAGACAGGATCTTACTCTATAATCTGGGATAGTCTAGAACTTGAGATCCTCCTGCCTCAATTTCTGAGTGCTGGGATTACCAAGTATGCACCACTTGACCTGCCTCTTTCCCAGCAACTTTTAACGTTTAGTTTTATTTTATGTGGATGGGTGCATTTCCTGCATGTATGTAAGTCATGCACCATGTCACACAATGCCCAGGGAGGCGCTGGATCCCCTAGAACTGGAGTTACGGACAGCTGTTAACTGCCATGTGGGTGCTGGGACCAAACCTGGGTCCTTTGCAAGGTCAGCCAATGCTCTTGACCTCTGAATCATCTCTCCAGTCCCAGCAACTGTGTTTCCAAGGGTGACTATAAGGAGTGAAAATTTACTCCGCCAGACTTACCACTATTTTTTGTTTGGTTTTGCAGGGTTTTGTTTTGTTTTTTGAGATAGGGTCTCTCTATAGAACCTGCTGGCCTGGAACTTGCTATGTAGTCCAGGCTAGCCTCAATCTCACAGAGATCCACTGGCCTCTGGTCTACCTCTGCCTACCAAGTGCTGGAATTAAAGGTGTGTGTCACCATGCTTGGTTACGGACTGATTTTTTATCCCTAAGGCAGGTAAAACAGTATCAATCTCCAATCCTACAGCTACTATTTGCTCTCAGATTGCAAATGGTTTAATTATGTTGAAGAGCTGGCTGCTCTTAAAATAGAAAATTATACCTTAGGCATAAGGTATAATGAAAGGAAGAGTTAGTAACTAATTCTTCCTCCAAAGCCTCATCTTTTTCCCTTAAAAATTTTTTTTATCTATTTCTAATTTTTTCAGATGTGTGTATGGTGTGCCTGCATATGTGTTTTCGTGTTCACGTGTGTGGGTGCATATGCCAGGGAGGGGTGTGTTGTGTGCCCAAGCATGTGAAGGCCTGAGGTTGACCTCAATAATCGCCACTTTCCACCTCATATATTGAGGTAGGGTCTCTCAGTTGATGTACAGCTCTACTCAAACCCTGTGTGCTTCCTGACATTTAAAAACCTCAAGTCAGAGCAACAGAATATATATGACATGAACACAGAGAAGGGAGGACTATTTGAGAAGGGGAACCAGAAGAAGGGGGCAGGAAGAATGGGAGAAGAGGGTAAGAACAAGGTACAGAGCTGGTCTACAAAAGGAGTTCTAGGCCATCTGGGGATACAGGGAGAGCCTGTCTCAAAAAGACAAAAAAAAAAGCCACTTTGTCCCACTGTCCCAACTTGGGCCTAGGCCCCTTCCTGCTCCTGCAGCCAGAGAGCTCCCGATCAGCCTGACAAGTATACCTCTCACCACTCATAAAAGCAGCTTCTTTTTGCAACAGATAGAGCCCATCACAAAGTTCCACTGCAGCTGGTTCAAAGCATAGAGTTAAGCGTCTGTGAGGTGCCCAGCCCTAAGTGATACATCTACAATCCAACCTCTACGTAGACCTAAGGCTCAGGGAACATAGCAGAATAGAGTGCAGAAAAAATATTAATGCATTTCTCAACTCTCACCAAGAAAGCTTCCTCATGCAACAGATGGTGATTAACCCAGAAACCCACAACTGGCCAAAGTGCAGAGAATAAGACTGCAGAGTGTGTATCCCTGGATAGGACTTCTATATCAAACCTCTACCACCCAAGGCTCAGGGATCACTGCAGAAGAAGGGGGTGGAAAGACTGTAAGAGACAGAGATGGTAGAAGACAATAGTTTTCCAGACAGCTAAGAAGTTACTTATATGAACTTACATTGCAATGGTACCAGCAGGCACAAGACCCATGCAACTCAAACCTGACAAAATTCCAGCACAGAAGTAGGGAAATGGGTAAGAAACTTCAACCTTAGCTGAGCAACTATTGGCAACTGATAACTACTGGGAGAGGGAGAGTTAGTTTTCTTTAAGGGAGTGATACTAGATAGGTTAACCAGGTTCCAGCAGATGGACATACACCGAAGGACATTTGGGGACACAACCTTGGCTCAATAAGCCTTAACATATATGAAAGAATACATGAAATCTGGTGTAGGGGGGGCTATGAGAGAGGTACAGATAAGGAAGGGGTCTAAATATGATCAAAATATATTGTATGAGATTTGAAATTTTCGATTAAAAAAGAACAAAGTACAATGACAGATGTATGAAAATGCCATATAAAATCCAATGCTTTGTGATAGCTGCACAAGCCTGATGATAGGAGTTCCATCTCTTTATTCCCAGAACCCACAGTAGAAGGAGAGAAATGACTCATCAAAGCTGTCTTCTAATCTCCACATACAAACATGGTATGTAATATACATACACACAAACAAATAAATGTAAAACAAAAAATAAATTCTCAGGACATTTTATACTTTTATATAGCTACTTAAATGAAACAGTTTCATAAATATAAAATCTGCCCTTATTTTATGAAGCACACTATTCTATTCCACTTTTTTTTTTGTCTTTTTGAGATAGGGTCTCCTTGTAGCCCCAGCTGTCCTGGAACTCACTATGTAGACCAGGCTGGCCTTGAACTCAGAGATCCGCCTGCCTCTGCCTCCCAAGTGCTAGGATTAAAGGCGTGCACCACCCTGCCTGGCCCTCTATTCCACTTTTTAAAAAATGTTGGTTGAGGGGCTGGAGAGATGGCTCAGCGGCTAAGAGCACCAGTTGCTCTTGGAGAGGACCTAGGTTCTATTCCCACTACCCACATGGCGGCTAACAACTGTTTGTAACTCCTGTTCCATGGGATCCAACACCTTCTTCTGACGTCCACAGGCACTGCACTTATATACATGCAGGCAATACACTA